ACTTAACAAAAAAAGGAAATATTTACCTTTCTGAAAATGTAAAGCATTCTGAGATACATCCTTGCTTGACAGTGCTGAAAGAATGGACATCTGCCAAACCCTGCCTGAACAATGAAGATAATAGGCTTTCTTGGCTCCTTACATTTTTTTTCTTCTTTTTGTTTTTGGTCCTCCTTATTTAGGCTAAGCTGAAAAGCGGTTTTCCCCAAACCTATGCTTTCAAAACTTTTATCGTATCTATGGCTCATCTGCATGGTCTTTACAGTCTGGGAAAACTGAGAGAGTAAGGAACGTGCATGAGTACGGAGTAGGCAGACATCTGTTTCACTACACTGGCTCATGAAATAAACTGCTCTTCACAAGCAGGTATAGTTGTAAACTGCCAGTAAACTGGCTCTTTAGCATGTCAAAGAGCCCTGGGAAGTTGTGAGTAGGGTAGCGTACCTGTGCATTGTTCTTATGTACTCATGGAACTGGGTTCATAGTCTGTGACACTGTGGTGATGATGCTTACTGAGTACTGGTGTCAGTCCTGCTGCCTATCCACCTTTTCCTCTCCTCCCCCTTTGCTTCCAAAGAGCTTTGGAAGCTAAATCTCTCTTCATAGTATGTTGATTAATAGCAAAATTAGTCAATAATTTCTGTATGAAGTGTAAAATGTAGTATCATGTACCCATGTAAGTATCCCATATAAGGATAACTCAGAGGGAAAACAGACCTTACTCAAAATTCTTCTGAGCCGCAGAGGGCATTTTTACCTCAGTCTTTCCAGCAGTCTTTTCAGCATTACTGTAAATTTGGGGGAAAATAAAACAAAATGATTCAGATAAGTCTTTTCTCTTATCCTGAAGGTTAACTGATGCAAAGGAAGACGTTAAATTAAAGCAAAATTGCGTGCAGAAACAGTTTTATTTAAACAAAGGATCAAGAGTTTTCAGGGACTTGGTCATAATTTTTTCACAGGTATAAAATCCACTTATGGAAAATTTTTATCATATCAGATCATTGAGAAAGTGTTTCTACCTGTGGGAAAGTCCATCCTTCTGAAGTTCTGTCATCAGAGCTCAGCCAGACTAGGAATTAACTTTTAATACATTGAATACACAACGGTTAATGTATTTGTCACAGAAGGCAGAACCACAGCCTACTTTAATTTCTACTATGTTCATGTTTATCCCCAGATGAACAGTAAAGAATTAGATGTTTCTCTGCCTGGAGGGTGCTAACTTCAATCATTTTAATTTGCATTAAGTGAGAATTATTTTAGATCTACATAAATGACGAACAAATGTAGAAAACAAACTACTTGTAGTGCTGGTATAGCAGTAGATGCAACTGAGCAGTAAAGGTCTAGGAGATAAGAGTTTCATTTCAGAGCAGCTTTTGAGGTTATGAAATTGGTTTTTGTTCTGTGTTGACCTGAAAACAAAATCTTTGAAATGCTCTTACAAAAAAAGAATTGTGATGAAATGTCCATTTTGAATCCAAATCTGAGCTACCTGAGCTACTCAGTTCATGAAAATGTGTGCAAAGAAAAGAGGGAGTGTCTGTCTTCCAACCCTTCCTGACAAAACTTGGTTGAATGTTTCTTCAAAACATCTCAGCTGTGATGAAAGTGCATAGTTTAGAGTAGCTGTACTGTCTCTAAATGTTACAGCAAGCTCTAATGGATCATTTTACCAGACCGTTCTAGCAGGCTACCCTGCATTGCTCATGCCTGCTAACAATCCTGCTGGAGGATCAACCTCTGGATTTTCTTCTCCTAACTTATCTTAGTGGTGTTACTGACCACTTACCTTTCTTTCTGGTCAAGGCAAAAAATGCACACAGGTGCACACATACATACACTTGTAAAAATGCACTGGAAATTTGAAAGACAGGCTTTTTCCCAGGTCACCCAGGATTTGATGCTTAACCATCAAATATCCTATCTGCTCTGTAGCAGATAGTTTTAAAGAAAATACGAGAGGTGAAGGAACAATTCTAGATTATTATGCGCTTTCAAATTTTTCATACTTATGAGCAGTGAACTCTGCTAATGTTCTATACAGGTGTTCATTACCTTCTTAACAGTAACATTATGAATTCAGACTCAGGAATGTGTATATCTAATGTGAATTCTCATAAAATTGTCACTAGAAAACTGCTATTAATTTCCTTTCAACTGAACTGGGTAAGTGCATTGATATTTCCGATGTTTAAGAAGTCAGTTTTTATTATAAAATGTGACTAACGGGATTGAAAATGGCATATCTGGTAATGATTATAAAAATGTAAACCTTCCCATTTTCCTATTATAAATAATCTCAAAATAGATGAACCTGTATGTTTCCAAACCATTGAATTTTGGACACAAGGACTGTTAGTATTTTAACATTACCCTTTTTTGTATTTCAGCTGTCAGGCACTGAGCATCTCTAAAAAACTCTTATTTTAAATATATAAACATGGACAGAGGTGGTGATAGAAAATGCCTTACATTGCCCTCTGCTTTAGCTGTTTATTTTATTCAATAACATTTTACATTCATAGAAGTTGAGGCACTGAACATCAACAGTATTTCTGGTGCCAGTTAGTTAATTCCAAAATATGTTTTTCTCTGTGAAGTACACAGCAGTTATTCTAGATCTGAAAAGAAATCGTACCTGTGGAACTTTAAAAAAAAAGAAAAAGAAACAAGTAAAGCATGTTCTAGTTAGTATCTCACTTCCAAGCCAGAGCTTATACTCAGAGAACACCAATACCACTTATTGCAAGTAGAATGATTAATTTGGGGTCATATTCATCACGGCCCACAGAAGTCGCCATACCTTGTGTTTCTGATTATCTGATTATTACCAAAATCTTCTCCCAACATGAGAGGGCTGACAGAGTGTGAAAAATAGGGCTATTAGATACATAAAGCTGATGCAATGTTGATGAAAGTTTTAACCTGAAAAATGCAGAATTGGTGTGACAGAAACATTTCAGAAATTTGCATTAAACTCACCTAATTGTTTTGGTTGAAAGGAAATGGGGAAATTAAGTCCTTAATATGATGTGTCATTGAAAAGTGTTGTGTTGGTTTTGTGTTTTTTTTTTCTTTTTAATACAATGAAATATTTAAAATATTGTTTTAAATTGACTACAACCAAAAAATTTTTTGATTCTTACTGCATTCAGTCGAAAAATCGGTTGCTCAAGGTTTTATGTGGAGACATATGAACTTTGCAGTGTATGTGTATACTTTCACATTCTGCAGCATATGTACAGGTTTCCAATTGCAATCTAAAAAAAAAAAATCAGTGAAACAAAACATTTTGAATTGTGTTAGTTCGAATTTATGAATGAATTTACCGTCATACTTCACTCTAAGCACTGCCAATAGGAAACAGAAAGAGTTTCATTTTCATGTGGCATGTATATGCAGTCACATTGCTTTCGTTCTTCATATAGGGTACTGACTGAACTTGATTTACGCAGTTTTGCAGCAGAACACACAATAGTATTGAGTTATTCACTAATGAATTAGTTGTCTTTCATTGGTCTATAATTTTTTCTTCTATTATGGTAGTTGTAAGAGGATTTCTAGCCCGTCAGCGTTTGCTACAGAAGATGAGCATCAAACAGCAAGAGGTCACCTCAGTCAAAAGCTTCCTGCAGAATGCAGAGGATATGGGACTGAAAACATATGATGCCTTGGTCATTCAAAATGCATCTGACATTGCTCGGGAAAACGACCGACTCCGCAGTGAAATGAATGCTGCTTATCACAGGGAAAAGTTAGAGGCTAGAAACATACCAGAAGAAGTCTCTAAAAGGTAAGAAGAGGAAGCATATTCAGTGCTGTGGAGTGAAGAATTAAAACACTTCTCCAGTTTTAATGCATTTCTTCCCGGCTTAGAAAGTCATAGAAATGCATGAAGAGTTGCAAGTGAATTCTCAAGTATATGCTTACCTCAAATCAGTGTTAGACATTGTTCTGTTTGTATATCAGGTAATGAATTCTAGAAACTTAAAGACACCTGATATACCTGATTCAAGAGATGCTGTGTTTTGCAGGAACTTATTCAAGTCTGTGAGCATTTATTTTTATATATATTTTTTTAATTCTACGATAAATAGATTATAGTGGGACTTTCACCAAACCAACCGAACAAAGCAAAAATTCGTCTAACTTCCAACATTGGGAAATTGCCGAGATAATGAAGAACAGCTAGGAAGGCATTAAAATGCAATGAAGTCCAAACAAAGAAATCCTGATTATGTATTGAACTAGGGAGATTGTCAAGAGGATCCTTTCCTCTCATTTAAAAACACAGCAAAGTTTTTTGTTCCACTCAGAGTTTAGCTCCCACCACAGTTTTCAGGAATACCTCTTGTACAAATCCAGCAAATACTGCGGAGTCCCTTGCTAGGAGTGGAGTCTCTCTTATTTTTATTCATAGACGGCTGAAGGGGCCTATGCAGTACTTATAGCAGCTACTTATTGTGTGTGTCTATAACTTGCTGGACATACAAATGTTTATTTTTCCTTAGGAACGTAATTCTCATCGGGAACAACTCCCTTTGCTTTCATTGCTTTTGTCAGTAATTTTTATTAAAGTGAAAATGGCAGTGCATCTGCTTAATTAGCTCCAAATATCCCAGTGATTACATATTGGAGGAAATGCTTTTGTATGAAAGACTGTAATTAAACATTACAGTGAAAACAAATTATCCATGAGCACCAAGCTTTCATCTTTAGCTATTTCGTTTACTGCATGGGCAGCTGGCTATATCCTGTCATTGAATTCCAGCTCTACTGGAAATGCAGAGATACGTTTTAAAAATGCAGAGATGCAATTTAAAAAAAACAAATGCTGATGGACTTGTGTGTAAAATGATGGTGTGGACATCTTCTACCTAATACGCTGCTACTCTAAATTAAAAAAATTTTCAGCATCTTGATTTTGGAGGATTAAAACATTAGATGGATATTTTTATTTTTGAAAAATCAGTTTGTTGGAAGCAAGTAATTAAGTGTTGTTTCTCAATACATATACGAAATAGCGAAAGCCACAGGCAAAAAATAATGTGGTAAGTGAAACACTCTACAAGTGTGATTGAAATGATAGCTAATTATAATGTCATAGTTAATATCAATAAAATAATAACTAATAATTAAGCTTAAAGAGGAAGTGTATAGGTATCTAGGTGGAGCAGTCCAGACAGCCAGAGTAACTAGTTAAAAGGTCATCTAATATTTTAAATATTTGGATTATCTAAATAGAATTTGTAATCGTCTTTTTAGAAAATAATGATAAAGGCTCAGCATTCACTGCCTCAGTAACTTTCTATTAAAATGGATTTCCCAGAAATTATCATTCAGATTGAAAACCCAGCTTTTGATTGTGTGTAACAATCAAAGTGTGAACAATGCATTCAGTGAATGTCTGATCAACAATATGAAACTGCTTAAGGAAAGCTGCATTTGTGTGAGAAAGGGCCAGTGTCCTGATTTATCATAAATCAGGAAATGGAAGAAAGCTAGCAGCTTGATCTGGATTTGTTTGTCAGAAGATTACTACACACATCCCCTAGGCACAGCAGGGGAGTTGTGAAATTGTTTACCAAAAAGCTGTTGTTATGTTTGCATGAACAGGTTCATTGTTATCATTTGAATAATGCATCTGGGCCTCTTTTCTGTGCTTTCAGAGCTGAAGACAAGGGTGGGAAGGTCCCTGAGGACAGCTTTGTCGGCTGTCGAACGCCCAAGCACTTTCATTCCAGCTCTGTCCCTGTCCCCATGGTGGTGGACGGCTTGGTACATTCTGCGACTGGATCATCCATCAGATCCCCCTCCCTGCACTCTGTGTTCAGCATGGATGATGGCAATAGCCTGCCATCACCAAGGAAACAGCCTCCTCCCAAGCCGAAGAGGGACCCCAACACACGACTGAGTGCCTCGTATGAGGCCGTTAGCGCTTGCTTGTCGGCAGCTTCTAAAGAAACCACGAATGAAGGTTAGGCATAAAGGGAGAAACCGTCACAAATGCTACTTTAGGTTATTGATTCATACTTTTTGCTTTGATCCTTTTAAAAGCAGTCAAGCGCCTTTGAAAAGCCCCGCTTCCTTAAAATATTTTCAGTGGCAGTAAATAAAAGTAGTCAATTTGTCATTTGTTCACAAATCAGCAAATAACTACTCATGTGTTCTAATTGCCTAGTTTGTCAACAGCCATAACAGATTTGTAGAATTCCCCCTAGAGACAAATGATCTTTGTCAACTTCAGCTATTTTACCCTGTCGACTGTTTTATTTCACCTTTTAAACTGTACGTTAGAATACCTTGGATAGGTAAAAACAGAATGCTTGAATGTTGAATTTTAGCAAGTTAAACATTAAACTTTCTCCTACTTTTTTTCTATGTTAACATGAATAACTTGTGCATTCAGTAATTTATGTTTGTGCCATAACTTTGTTACCGTGATTTTTTTCTCAGTTAGAATAGAAGTGCTATGAAAGTCCCAACGTGTCTCAATTCATGGTGAAGCATGAAGTCCAGTTTTGAGTTAAATTGTTCTGTCCTCCTTCACCCTTGAAAAGAATGAATAGAAGATGAATAAGAGGGATGTATTCCACTTTATTGCAATAAGTCTGAGTAGTCATGGTAGTCATGTTTTGTGTAAAGGGTCCTTCCTCTAAGTTTGTCAGGGAAGATAAACCCTTCAGTTTGGGTCTAAAGCTATGTACAACCTTTCCCTAGTCTTGAATTCAATGGCTGGAGACCTCTGCAGCTCCCTCTTGCATAATAATTACTGTTCTCATATCCAGTTTAGATGCAAGTCAACTTTTCCTAACCTCTTCCCTATTCATTCAAACTCCTTGTAGAGAGAGAAGCATTGTGTCCAGTATGGTACTTTCAAACTAGTTCAGTGTGGTTTTAGGAGCTCTGTCGCTTAGTCTGTCTGTGCCCAGAGCTGCAAAAAGGTGATTGACTTGACCAAAAAGCTCTAGAAGAGCTTTCTGAAAGAAGGGCAATTTGTATTTGCACAAATGGCTTTAACACTAATATTTATATACACTCACAAAGTAACTTTGGAATTCTCAAATATTTGAAAGGATAGGACCAGTTTCTCTGCTGTACTCGTTTTCCAGGACTTATGACATTTTCCTGAGACTTGTCCAAGGCGAACTCTGATTTGTGCCATCTGGTTTTGATCCTAAAAGACCTGTCACCTATTGATGATAGCTATCTATTCCCTCTACCGCTTCCTTGCCTGGAGGTTGTGAAGAGATATCTAGTTTTGTTAGCTGTATACTCAGTTCAGGAATTCCCCTTAGGCTATGGGATTCCCTAACTTTATAGATTATTTCCACATGGCAGTACAAAGGAAACAGAGATAGGTATAGTATCTGTCTATGATAGGGTTTTATAGATATTTACATAAAAGGAGGATATTTCAGTTACCAGCGATAACATATATACCAAAGTAGCACCATGCGGAAACTCCTGGTTACATGCCCCTGTGTCTTCTCCCTTGGGGCATCTCTGTTTATTATAGACCTTGCAGTGAACACTTGAATTCAAAAATAAGTCCTGAGGTGTTGTGTCTCACCTTTTAGTGACTGTAGTGACAGGCAAATCAGATGGCATGCCAGGTGGCAAAGGGTTGTGGTTTGGAAGCTGAAAAAGTTCTGCGTTTTATTCCCTGTAATATGTATGCTTTTGATTGGATACCTGTTTTCATGACTACTGCTCATTGTAAAAATATAGGCAAGATTGGAAGGCTTCAGTACTGTACCTGTGCAAGAGAAAACAGACTTTGCTCTGTTAATAATACATACCTTTTTCACTTTCCTAGTACTGACCCGTCCAAGGCCACACAGTGATGACTATAGTACAATGAAAAAAATTCCTCCCAGGAAACCAAAACGAAGTCCCAACACAAAACTTAGTGGCTCTTACGAAGAAATACCTGGCCAAAAGCCTGGGGAAGTGAAACAAGCAAGCACAGTAACTAAACCAGGTGTCTATGACACTGTGACTGTACAGAGAACAGCTTCTGCTGATGGGCCGCAGCATAGCACATCATTGACTCTTTGTATGTCACAGGAAGAGGAGGAAAATGAGCCTGTCTATATTGAAATGGTAGGGAATGCAATGAGGAGCAGTTCTGCTGAAGCAGAAAGCCCAGAACAAGGAGAAGCTGTATATGAAGAAATGAAGTATTTTCTACCAGAAGAAGGAAGCAATGGTAATGGAGTAATTCCAGTAGTGACTGGATCTCCTCCACTGTTGTTTGAAAGCAAAAAAAAAGTTAATATTGAACTGGATGGAAACAGTCAAGCAGCTTTCAACTATAAAGACTCGTGTGACATTCCAGCCCCTTTCCCAAACCTGCTCCCTCATAGGCCACCACTTCTTGTATTTCCTCCAACCCCTGTCACGTGTTCACCTGCTTCTGATGAATCACCTCTAACGCCGCTAGAAGTCAAAAAGCTTCCTGTCTTGGAAACCAACCTAAAATACCCTGTGCAGTCCGAAGGCTCGAGTCCATTATCACCGCAGTACTCCAAAAACCAGAAAGGGGAGAATGAAAGACCAGCATCTCCTGGCTTGGTTGTGTTCAACGTTTCCAGCAAAGTGACTCCTCCTTCAACACCCCCTCCTCCACTCCCACCACCCCCTCCTCCTGTGCCACCTCCTATTTCCTACCGGGCTTCCACACATTTTGCATTTCCTCCAGAGGCTTGTGCTAGTTTTCTGATTAATACAGGGAAAACAGGAACAAACTCAGATCTGTCAAAAGTACCTCAGCGACCAAATCCTGCTCAACTTGGATGCTCATCTTCTCCGTTCTCCAAACTGCCTTACTCCCCAAAGGTAGCAAGAGCAGATCACAGGAAATCAAACTCTAATTCATCATCTTCATTTCCATATAGCCCTACAAACTCAAGGTCATTGACCAGTCCCCTCGATGAGTTAACCAGCTTGTTCAACTCAGGACGGAGTGTGCTACGAAAATCTGCAGCAGGAAGAAAGATCAGGGAGCCAGAAGGTAAGACCGATCTCTATGCTTCTGTATAGTGTATTCCTTATGCACCAGTCTTACATTAGAAGCTGGTAGAGTCAGTAAAAATACAAAACAAATCTGTGGGGGTTTTTTAAGATCTGTTGTAGTCATAAGAAACAAATAAGGAAAATGCATTATGTATGAAAAGTATAGGTTTCAAGTTTTCTCTGAGATGTCAACATTTCTGTTAGCAATATATTTGTATGACCCACATTTAAATGGAATTTTTTCACATACCAGCAGTCTCAATAAAATAAGCATGCATGTTATATCATGCAAAAATTAGTTTATGGTAACACCCTTGAATGAAATATATTTTAAAATTTCCGTTGGCTAGCTGTCTGGAAGATAGCATATACTTTATATTTAAGGTTTCATTATTTAATTTCCATGAAAGTATGAATTTGATAATGCTGCCATATTTCTTCTCCTAAATGAACCTGAGCCAAAGTATGTGCCACAAACTCTATTTATTTCCCTGTGCTATCCTTTTATTCTAACTCTTCCTATTGTTCGCATATACTTATGTACATACACACAAATTACTTGGAATCCTGGCTTTCTGCCATCTGGAGAACATCTTTTGTGTCTGGTGCAAAAGCCAGCTGTAAAAAGAAGCAAAGCCTGCCATTTTGCTATCAGCTTTTGAGACCACAGTCCTCAGACAATATCAGTTAGTTATTTGCCTTGTGCAGATAATGGAGGGTTTAATTATATTACTATAAAGATCTATGGAGCTATCCTGATGTAAAAAGATTTGTTCAGCTGCTCTGTAAGGGTGAAAAGCTTCTGACCTAGCTTTGTCTATCTACAAGCTGGATATCTAGTCATCAAACTGTTAGTCTATGGAGAGACGTTCATTTTGAGAGCTGGATTCCTCCTACATATATCTCTCAGCTGGATATGAGGAAAGCCTAAATGATTAACCTAGTAGAGTGTTAATTTCTTGACTTTTGAAGTCAGTTAAGGATATGCCTATCCTGCATATCCATTACAACACTGACTTCAGTCTTTATGTTACTTTTCTGATCAAAAAAGCGCTCCTACTGAAAATAGTTACAGTGCACTGCATACAGAAACTTTTCCCCGTAGTAACATCTCGCAAACAACCTGACTTGTGTGCAGCATTTAGTTTACAAAAAAATGTAGTAAATTGAACGTTCAGAGTGATACAACATCTAGATTGTTTTGTCTGCCTCTTCACTTCTATCTGTCCAGATTGCCTTAGTGACAGGCTGTGTGTAGCATATTCAAACTGGGGAATACAAAGTCCCATTTTTGAAGTATAAGACAAAACAGTAGAGAATGGGATAGATTACCTTCTTATTCATTGTCTATTTTCTTATATATGTACTGCTCATTGATTTCAGTATCATACCCTGATTTATGCAGATGTAATAGAGCAGAAGCAAGTGTTTGAACTTACTCTGGATATGTGTGTGTCTGTATGAGTGCTGCCTTGTCACTTCATCCCTAAGAACCTTGGCAGCCATTGACCCCTTTCAACCAAATATGACAAGGAGGTAATGATCTCAAAAATAGTTGAGTTTCTACAAGTTTCGTGAAAACCGGTGGCTAGGTGGAGGCAAGAGCCGTAAACTGTGAGAAAGGTTCCTACCAGCCATCAGTTGAAACCACTGCAGATAGAACCTTTGTGTGTGTTCCAGACCTTGAAAAAGTATTAGTTGGACCTTTTCCTTAGATGCTGAATTCATTACCCTGTGAGTTACAAATGCAGACTTCATGAGTTCTCAATCTCAAGAGAATGCCTTGTTTGTTATTTTGAGTATATGAACTGGTGAAATTTGTAGAGGAGATGTTGCAGTGGGTTTGTGGTTTCACAAAATTAACTGATAACAGTAAACATCCGTAAATATGTTCAGGATTTTTTTATGTTGGGAATCTTGTTTTATTATATCAATAAGACATTTTATTCACAACGAAGTAACTCTCAGATTTTAAAGTCAACTCTTTGGAGGTATCTGCTCAAAGTTCGCTGAATGTACCTCATGAGTGAGTGTGGTAAGCCACTCCAACCAAATCAGCAAATTGACTTTTACCACATACTGTATGTATGTTGGTACACATGTGTAATTTTGCTTTCAGTTTGAGGTTTTCTACAAACTTGATTTGCAACTAAATGTGACCAAGTTGTAGGTTGAAGCTTGTCCATTAACAGAGCCTACCATCTAAAAACTCTAAATTTACCTTTTGCATAGAAAACATTGTACTTCTAAATATTTCATCAAGGCAGCACTAAGTATGAAAGATCAAAGTTCAAGAAAGATATACAATAAAACATAGGAATCAATATTTTATGAGCTAGGAAGCTCCTGTATAATCCTAAGTGCTGTTATATAAGAATAGTTCAATGATGAGCAGATAGACTGGAAGTAACAAAGAAATAAAGGTGAATATGTGTGGAGAGTTTCTACAGTTCACTTTGTGTATTACTTGTGTTCAGTTCATTTCTAGGGTAACAGCTGGAATAAATATTATCTTGTATTTAACTTCTAATGCAATATAATAAGATGGCAACCAGCAGAGAAGACTGTTATATAAAACTAGAAGTCCTGATGATACTTTGTGATTTTTTATCACCTTTTGCGTAACGCAAATGAAGTTCTTGGAAGGCTCCTCCCTTCCTCAAACTCTTTTGTTATTGGTAGTATTTTATTTATAGCAGACGATGTGGTAAGTTCATGAAAATTAAACACTTTGTCTAGAGTAGCCTTCTGAAATGTTGTGCAGTTTCCTTTATTTGCGTAAGTCATAACTTAACAACAACCTTAACTCAAAATAGGAAGTAAAATTGTGGGCCATTTTGTGGTCAAGGAAGGTTTTCTGTAGAAATCAATAAGTTTCTAGACCGCATCATCAGCCTTGGAGATAAAAGCATCCTGGCAAATAAAAGTGCAATACAGACAGACCCCCAGCATGCCTCCCTCTTACCTGGAAGAATAATTTCAAGGCCTGAGAACGCTGATATCCTTTTGCCTCCTGACTCCCCAGGGGAAACGATCATCTAGAATTCCAGTAGAATGGGTTTGTGGTTTTGTGATGGACTGCTGGCTTATTGTGAGCTGAAGCGAGATCACCCTGCTTTCACATAGAAAACAAAACAGTAATTAAATGGCAGCAACTTTCATTACCTATTGGCCTAGCCTGGATATATCTGACCTTTTTTTTTGTCATACAATAGTAGCATCTAGGTGTTCAAGCACTGATCAGAATCACATAGTATGCAATTTCGTGCAGAATATTGTACATGTCGTAAGAGAAATTTTCTGCTCCACGGAGCTTGTAGTCTAAATAAGCAAAACAGTAACAGTTGAAAACTGAGAAGTGATTTCTCCAAGGTCAAAAAGAGGTTGTCACTGAAGCCACATCTGTATTGCTAGACAGGGGGGTTTTTTTATGCCATATCAAATGAGACCTGAATGCGGATTAGCCACAATACACACTCACACACACACACACACACCCCCTTTTCTTCTGTTCACCCTGATTTCTGCAGGGAAACTTTAGCTTGCAGGTCAGATAGAAACCAAATGATCATGTCTAGCTTCATCTGTGCACCCCAATATCTCTAGATGGGGACCTTAGATTTGAAACCAAACTTCACAAAACCTAGTTGAATGCCTTAATCACGAAAGCACCCTCTCTAGCAGAATGTACAAATGTTTTTCACTTTTCAGTGTATAAGGCATTCCTAGAGAAGAAGAGGAAATTACATGTTTACATATTTCACATTTAATATTTGTAGAGCAAGGATGGAAATTTATTCTCCTCTGCCTGGATGAGTACTCAGACTGCTGGAGGTCATAGTGTTGTTTCTCTTGGTTTGATACAATTAATAAGCTATTCCATGCAAAATGGAATAGCTTCAACTTCAGAACAAAAGATGGAATACTTCCCACCCCATCATCCATGCTACATCCACTCACATTCACAGAGTGACTATTCATATGGATAAAGGCTATATGTATATGTATGTATACATGTATGTATGTATATAAGGGGCATATATATATACAAGGGAACTGAGCAAATGAAACATGTTTTTTCCTTAACCTGAGAGAATTTGCTCGCAATCGGGCTACTAAGACAAAGACTGAATTCTCTGCTTCATGTTTGTTGAGAAAAGGCTGGCATAGATACTTCATAAGCCTCTGAGTCTGAGCAAAGAAAGACTTGCAAACTTGCCACCAAAATTTAGGTGCGTAAGTCCTAAGAAATAAAATTTTATTTAATTCATCAGCATATAGGCTTCAAAGTTTCCTCAGTTGTCATTACAGTTTCAATACAAGTAGATCTGTATGGGAGGTCAATACATGCTTCAGTGATCTGGTCCTTTTCAGAACAGTTCAGCAACGTACATAGTAGCAACAGAAAAGACATACAAACAGATTGATAACAAAATATCAATGCCGTTATTGAGATGCTTGCCTGATATCTTTGGCATGCATTAACTGCGTGACTCTCTTCTTCACCTACTTTCTAAGTGAGATATTTCCAAGGCAGGTAGCTTCACACATCGGTGAGTTATTCCATGACCTCCAGTTTAAGCAGTGGAAGTCAGAGGAAAAGAGTTGCAACTTACAGATGAAGATATTTAGATACACCTACTTGAGACTGAAGCTTGCCAAATACTCTTTATCAAAATTGGCTCAAACTTGGAAAATAACAGCATCTATTGTGCATGTATAGGAAGTACTATCCTGACAAAGACAGATATGCTTTGGATAGCTAGTAAATAATTTCCGTCTATCAGCAGATTAGAGTAAGCCACTATTGTGCAGCTAACATCTCAACAGTGGATTGCAAATTAAATTCCCACTGGGATTTCTGAGATGAAATCCTAGTCCCTTATCCTCTAAGCCACTCAGCTTTTCCTCTTAAGCAACTTAATAAAGATAATATTAATATCTGCCTCTCGTTATTCCTACATTATATTGATACAATATAATAGTTTTCCTTTCTTT